CTCTAACAAGGACGGGCTTCTCTAACAAGGACGGGCTTCTCTAACAAGGACGGGCTTCTCTAACAAGGACGGGCTTCTCTAACAAGGACGGGCTTCTCTAACAAGGACGGGCTTCCCGTAAACATTTGAGCTGGTGTTGTGAGTGGCACCAAAAAAAACGCACCAAGCGGAATATGTGGAAGACGAATGTTCTGACGGCATTGTGTTCGGCGTTAACGTGCGATGAGTTGTCATCACATTTGATGTCACAGAAGTCTGACCGAATGATGGGGTTTAATTCATTCATGAGCCGGCGGCTGCATCAACTGAAAGAGTGCTACAGTCCGCCAGAGCTGGTGGATAAATTTTTAGTGCTTGCACTCGCACCGAGTCCTGAGGAATTCGACATTTCGACTTTGAGTTTTTCGATGAAAGAATACATCAGCACTGAACTCACAGACTCGGACCTCAGCGAGCTGTGTCACACCCCCGTCTTTAAGGACCTCAACATGTCAGATGGGCTAAAGAGCGTGTTACAAGACATTCTCAATGCCTTCCCCCGGACTTGGGACGTATGCAGCGACGTCGTGGTCTTTGCGGGGGCCTTCGCATACGACCTTGAATCAGCCGAAAAAACAGACCAGTCGTGTCCGGTGCTTGGTGGGACTTTGTCTCTCGGGAATTCGCCTCTGACACGACGGGACGAGGTGGGTAATGCTGACTTGGACAACCTGGTTTACTCCGTGACTTCCCGGATAAATGCGCTAAGTCAGTATGTTACGGGGCGCAGACGGAGGTTGCTGGGGCTGCACGAAAGCGGCCGCAGATTGCACCGCATCCTGTTTGATGTAGACGATGCCACTGAGCTGGCAGCGGCGAACATTGCGGAACTGCTATATCCACGGCCGTCGTCGTCGGAAGGTCGCGAGTTGCGTGTGAAGGAAGAGGTCATCAAAACGGCCGTGCTGACGCTGTTCGATATTTACTCGCGGCAAGTACGAGCGTACAACTTGGTTCATGGCTTCCTCGTCCATGCGCGGAACTCTACACAGCAGGAGGCCCGACCGGGTGTGAACCCCACCGCTGAAGCGGAACAGTCGACGAATGAACTCGAAGATTTTCTGGGTGTGGTCGGTACTTTCCTGAGTCAGCAACCGCCTGCTCGCCGTTTGGCGTCGCAGACGGCGTGGCGCTTTGCGCCGACGCCTGCCAAATGGCGAATGTTGCGTCACGAGCAGCAGCTGCAGTTGTATACATTGGTCGACGACATCGCACGCGTGCGTGCAGACCTGCGCGCCTGTCAGGATGCCTGTCAAAGTCTCGCACAGCAAGTGGAGTACACACTCAGCGTATATAATCCGGACTTCTTCGATCTTGATGGGCAACCATACCTGGCTTTCGCACTTGCGCGGGCGTCCTTTTTTTGTGTACGGCATTGTCGCACACCGATCTTTGCGCCGGCTATTTCAAACTTCGCTAATATATGCTTCCATGGCATCGTGGATGCCTCTTCGGAAGACATCAAGCGCGGTGCGTTTCTGGGTAGAAGCGGCGCGGTTGGAACGCATATGCCCGTTTCCACTTACCGCTGGAGTTTGGACGCACTCGAGAACACTTGCGAAGAAGGCATTAAGGCGGTGTACAAAATATCCCTCGGCGTCCCCGAGCCTATGGAGGGCATGCGATTGGGCCTGCTGTCGCTCTACGAGGAGCTGCCCGACGTCGAGGACGAGTCCCTGTGTGCGCACGTATCTCTCGGACGCGCGGCATATGAGATGGTCGGGGCGTGCGTCAACGAAATCACCAGTGTTGCTGAGCTCGGACGTTTTGCGGGTGAAGTCTATAAGACCGCCTACGACTACTGGGCCAGCCCTGCCTACCACGACCTCACCAGTCAGTTCGAAAACCTCGCGCTCCATGAAACATTTCTTGACGGCGTCTTGCGAACACACACACTTACCATCGACGCGCCGCGCACGAAATACACCGTCAGCCCCCACATGATCCGCTTCTTCCGCCTCATGCAACGGGCCATACTTAAAATGGTCGCACTCGTCGACTTCGACGTCGTCCGCGACCAGGACGAAGGTCAAGACCGTCGGGACGAAGGTCAAGACCGCCGTGACGAACCATGGAGCCAACCCCGTCAGACTGAGAAGGATATTTTCCACTCCTCCTTCTTCGAAAGACGAGAATGGAAAGATATCGTCGACTACGCCTCCAAGGTCATTGCCACGGACCTTGCCGCGATCAAGTACCCCTGTCTCGCAAATTACAAACAGGAGCTCCGCATCGATGACGACCAACCGCCTGTAGAGTCAGTAGATAAGCCGGTCGTGGAAGATAAGTTGGTCGCGGAAGAGAAGCCCATGTTGCAGAAAGACCGTGCCGCTGCGGAACCTGTACCCGAGGTCCTGAGGCCGGGGTCGGAGGGACAGGGGTTGACAGGTGTAAAAATAGACGTCCGAAACGAGGACCAGAAAGAACCGGACCTGCGCAAGTACGAAGACCTTGGCGACGAGGAGTTGCGCGAGTCCAAACGTCTCCTGGAAGAGTCATTCATCCGCAACAGGATTCCGATTCGTAGAGCGTCTGCAAACAAAATTCCAAACGAGGAGCCGGAGGCGCAGGAGCAGGCCACGGAGCACGAGGGGGCGACGGAATCGGAGGGGCTTTCGGGACCGGAGGCGCCGGCGGAGCGGGAGGGAGGCGGTGAGGAAGAGGAAGGAGCTGAAGGGGAGTCAAGACGAACATCCAAGGTTATCCCGCCGTACAACTGGGAACCTTATGCTCCCTCGTTCAAATCGCAGCTGGTCATTTCGTCTGCCGAAGACGGCGACGGGACCACCTACCAACTGAAGGGCAACAGCATCTCCGTTGAGTCCAGCGATAACGACGAGTATGTTGTTTGCCTTCATGACCTGATAAACTACTCGGACAGCGCTTGTTTAGAATTTGATGCGCGGGCGCTGCTGGGCGAGGAGGGTGATCAGAGCTCGTCCATGAACTCCGCATAATTGGTTCTCTTTCCCACATCCACACCTTGGATGATGCGGAAGGCTGCATCAAGATGTCTGAAGATTACGAGGCCGTAGCAATTGTCAATAAATGCCGCGACGGTCTTAGCCCGGTCAACGACAATGGAGTCTACGGATAGTAGCTTTCTGCTGAGTTCTTCATCCTCTTCCGATGATGCATCATCCAGAGCCATAACGTCGTTGGCAGCGATACCTTGTGGCTCTGGTGCAGCAACTTGTTTTTTCTCTGGCTCGCCAGTTGTGGTGGGTGGTGCAATGTTGAGTTCGTCAAAGACGCCGATCCATCGCAGCGAGGAGACTTGGGCTACTAGGACTTGACCCGTCTCGCCGGCGGTGATTACAAAGTCATCCCCTAAGGCCACACACGTGTGCAGAGAAAACGCGAGGCCACCTATCTTGTTTTTGGCGTCTTCCAAGTCATTCGGGTCGTAAACGGCGAGGCCCTCGGAAGAGCAGGAGCATACCACCCGAAGTCCACCGTTCACAAGGCACACAGCCTCCAAGTCACCGTCACCGGGCGCAGTCATTTCTATCAACCGCGTTCCTTCCTCAGTCTTATACAAATCAAACAGTCCCAAACACCCGCCAGAGAGGGCGAAGAACTTGTCACCATCAATGTGCATGTGCAGAGCCGTCACCGATTCGTCACAATCTCTGAATACATAAGTCTTGCGGCCTTCCCGATACAACCGGATCAGACCGTCTTCGTACCCGACCAAAAATTCGGTCTCATTGACCTGGAGCAAACAGGTGACGCCAGCCACCACGCCTTTATCGCCATCCGTCAATGCATCCTCCACAGGGTACTCCGACAAGGTTGCCAGATTCCCTAACGATGCTTTCACTGTTAACCCATCTCTCAATCCGTACAGAACATCTGAAACCAAGTTTGACTGTATGTGTAAGTCACAGAATTAAGGGGGAATAAGTAAGGCGTGTGGAAAAGACGGCGGCAGGGAAAGTAAGGCGGGTGTCGATTAGGAGGGGATGGACATT